GCCCGCGTGGGAGCCGCCGGTACCGCGGCGCCGACGCGAGCGTTCGGTCGTCCGAGTCGTTTACTTCTTTGGCCGCCCGGCCTCTCTAGCTTCTCCCCAGGCCGTGTTTTTTCCCCGAGGCGTTTCTTTCACCGGCCTCGGTACTTTGCCGTACTTCTTAGCTCCTCGTCTGGGAAGTCAGTTTGTGGAAAGGGTCCGGGAATCTGTTTTAGCAGCCTCCCCAGGTGTCGGCCAGCTTTGGAGGGTGACTCTTGCACATTGACTGATTCCGTTGTGTGCAAGACGCTCTTCCTGGCAGTGGGTACCCTGCGTGATGGTTGACAAATTTTGCCCAGTACTTTAATACAAGATTGCTTCTTTTACTCTGTGCCCGACTTTTCTAACCACCTAGCTCATTTCCAGGCATTGCTCAAGGCACTGGTAAGATACTATATTGGACTGAAACTGACAAATCCTGTGCTCTGGGAGCAGGTTAGTGACAGAAGAGGAAAACTGAGGCTATAGATGAAATTTTAAGTGTCAATGACAACGGCTTAGGAGGGAAAAAAAATGGGAAGGAAGGCAAGTCTGTAGATGTGGCTAGTGGAATTTTGCTTGGGGTGGCTAAGCAAAGCTGCACAGAGATGACACATTTTGTTAGAATGAATGAATGTGGGCCTAGCAAGTAGCAAATATTAACTGGTCAGATTTTTTCGGGTGCTTATGGGAGAAGCTGCAAATATCTATTGTCTAGAGGAGGAATTATTGCAAGAAAATGGTGAACTGCACCAGATTCATGATCGGGAAAAGGAATATTAGGTGAGGTCAGCTTTGCTGGACTTTTAAAAATCATAGGCCCACAGTCGAGCAGCACAAGTCATTTGGTTTCCATCAGTGTGTGATTTTGGGAAACCTTGAGCTCCCCTAAGGAGCTGTTCTGAGGCCTGGATTTAGATCTGATAGTATAACATTTCTGGAGGTAGGGGTTAAAAGGACTGCCTACAAAAAATGGAGAAAGGTATGTCAAAATATGAGATATGAATTTGGACATGTAGTTGTGTAAATGTTTGATTATTTTTGGTTTTCGCTGCCTCTGGTCCTGTAATTTTTTTTTTTTAAACACATTTATTTATTTATTCACACAGAACTAGGGTACAGGCCAGAGGTGCAGGGGCAGTGAGAGGATTCACCAGACACAAGAGTGGGGAATAGAACAGGTAGATCGAGGAAGCACACTGCTGAGGGGAGCAGCGGACAGGGCAGGAGAGGTCTGCCACGCCATGTGGTCACCTCCAGGGCAGGCGGGGATCGAACTCATGCGGAAGTGGCTTTAGCTTCTTAGTGCTGTGCTTTAACCCGCTGCGCCACCAGGGAGGGCCTGGTCCTGTAATTTTAGTAGTTCTGGTATTTTTTTTCCTGCTCCCTCCTCCATAATTTACCTTACCTTTTGTTTTTCTTTGCTTGATCTTTTCCTTTTAGCCTGTGGATTTTTCTCTCCTTGACTGCCCCGTTTTACCTCTTCAGTCGGTTGTCACGTGCTATTTATTCTCCAGTCTCATTTACTGTTCTGTCCCCACATGGGTGAAGTGGCATTCCATCCCCTAAATTCATCAGAGGACCATAAAGACAGCATTCTCTACACCAGCAAACAACCAGGTGTATGTGTCTGCCAATGGGATATGAAACTCAGTACTTGAAGGGTGCACTCACTGTCTTCTATAGGTTCATGTACAGGAAGACTTGGATGACTCAAAATTGGAGAATGAAGCAAAAGATAATTTTCCATCTCAAAAGAAACCAGTTTGGGTGGATGAGGAAGATGAAGATGAGGAAATGTAAGTTGCCTAATTTTTCTTCCAGAATCCTGGATGTTTTAAAAAGTTATTTTTCAGGTTTTAAAGGCTTCTTTTCATGAGCATTTTAATTATATGGTTTTGAAGAATAGTGGAATATACAAAGAAAACCTCATTCAATCCCACCAATGAGGGGGCATCAGTGTTAATATCCCCCTCCTTTTTTTTTAAATGTTGTATCTAGTGTTAGATCTGAATTTGCCTTCTACTTTGGCCAGCTTCTATCTGGCAAGTTTGGAATCTTATCCTTTCTCATTTGTGAATTTGTAGCTCAGAAGGTTCTTGAGGTTAAAGGACATTGTGTAAACCTTTTCCTGATTCTGTAATAAGATTCTTTGAAGTACAATTTTTTCAAAGCACAGACATTTTTAAGGTTCTTGATAAATTCCACAAGACTGATCATGTGGAATTTATCTTCTAATTTATCTTCTTGTTGAAAGGTGTCCTTTTTGGTCTGTTCTGTGCATTGATTGGCCTTTTTTCAAATGTCGATTTAATGGGTGGGAGATGTCTGCTTAATCTGTGTTGAAAAAACATTTTTTGTTTGGTCATTGACATTTCTTAAAATTATTCTCTGTTGAAGTTTTTTAATTTTACTGTTTAATAGAAGCCTATAAGGTATACAAAGCATGATGTTTTGAGATAAACACACACACACACCCTCACAGTAAAATGACTACTAGGAATTTGTTTCACATAGTTATCATTTTTGTGTGTGTATCGAGATCACTTGAAATCTGCTCTTTCAGCAAATTTCTAGTATTTATACAGTGCTCTTATTTATATTCCACAGGCTATCCATTAGATTTCTATAAATTATTTTGGTGAATGGCATGAATTTGAGTTGAGATAAATCATTATGTATTTGAACTGTTAGCTCCCAAAAAAGTAAATTAAATGATCTGAAATAATGAAGACTTTTTTTTTGTTTTAGGAAGGATGGAGAATTTATTTATAAGATGTTCCAAATGTACAAATCTTGACCTGTATTTTTAAGTTAAATATTTTCTCAACATACTAAAAGTAATAACTATTTTGTTGAATTTTAAAAGTCATTTAAAGCATGCTATTATATTTTTAAAGGGTTGAAATGATGAACAATCGGTTTCGGAAAAATATAATGAAAAATACCAGTGAAAATAAGCTTTCAAAGGACAAACTACAAAAGAGACTTAAAGAAGAGTAAGTGTCCATTTTCATATGATTCATGAACATTTACTTAAAACCAGTAGTGTATTTTAATTTGCCTAGTATTTGGCTGTAATAATCTTGGGTAAGTAAGTCAAATAGTAAGAGCATTTTAGAGGTAACCTTAATGTCAGAAATACATATGTTGATTCTTATGAACACCTGAATGTTATATAATGCAGTGATACTTTAGTAGTAAGAGCATTGTTATTGGGAGAAATTATTAAATGTTAGAATCTTGAAGGGAGAGTTCCTAAAAGTACAGAAGAACACTTGAAAAAAATGTGGAATCCCACCCAAATATAACTGATGATAATTTGTTCACTTGTGGGTGGTAAACTATCTTTTCCCTACAACTTCACAGAAAAATTTTAAAATCAAATGCCAGCTGCCTAGGCTTAATTTTTGATCTGAGGGTAATATGTAGACACCACAGGAAAACCCCCTCTTAAATTCTTAAGGTTAAGAACATGGCCCTTCATTCACATTGCTGTTATCACACCTAACAAAATTAAAAGTTAATGTGCAAGCTATATTTCCCCAGTTGGTATAAACTTCATGCTTTATATTTGGGTTTTAGCGCTTTTAATTTTTTTTTTCATTTATTCTAGTACACCCATCTTTTTCTCCCCCATGATACTTGATTTTTTTTCATTTTAAATATTCTGACCTTTTTGTTGAGTTTCATTCTGAAATGTTTCCTTTTTTGTTCTTGTAGTGAAATTCACATACAATTTAGTGGCATTTACTATATTCACAGTTGTATAGCCACATTTTCCAAACATTTAATCTCTCTAAAAGAAAACACCATTTCCATTAATCATGTTCTCTGCATTTTTTCCTCCCTCAAACTGACTACTTAATTTATTCTTTTGTCATCTGTATTTCCTGTACAAATGGGTTTAGAAGCTGGGTGATCAGAATCAAATTATTTTTGGCAAGAGTCACTAGTTCACTGGTAGTCCTTCAGAATATAAGTGTTGACTTTTTGCAGAGTGAAATGCTCCCATTTTCTTAAAAGGATGTCATGATCAAGTGCTGTGCATTTATATCGACCTGGTCATTTCTTTCAGAAGTGTCTTCTTTGGAAGGAACTGTCATCATGGTCTAACCTGTGTTCTCTAGATGCCTCATACTCCATAATAGTCACCACAGATGTTTAACTTTCATCTTTTTGCTTAGATTCCAGCATGCCATGGGGGGAGTGCCTGCCTGGGCAGAGACTACAAAGAGGAAAACATCTTCAGATGGTGAGTTGTGATATCTCTGTTTAAGCTAGTACGTAAGTCCCTATTCCTGTTTTGTTATTTGAACTTTCCCTCAAGGCTCATAAAAACCTGGTGCTTTAAATTGTCTTTTTTATTAAATGTCTGGTTTTGATGTCTGCCTTTTCTCTGAGAGAAGCCCTTTTACAATAGTACCAGACTTATTTAATAGCATATTCTTTGCTGTAAGGAAATACTGGGTGAATTTGAAGATGTTTCTTAAAAGAATTAGGTCCACTGTGACATAGGCTTCAGGAAAAGTGAAGTTACTCCTTTTTGATTCAAATTCCTAGAGACATTGACAGCTAATTTAACTGTCCATTAGTAAATGAGATGTTTTTCTAAGGAGCACATGTCAAATCAGGCACATATAATTACTCATTTTCTAAAAAGCTAGTTTTCATCTCTAGATTTTGTCATAAAGCTTAATTTACTATCTGATTTTTAGATATAACAAATATGGGTGGTTTAGCCAAGATCTGATTTGTATGCTTGAATTTCTTAATTTTAGATTTGGAACTGACCTTTGAAATCCTGTAGGGAATCCAGAGTATATCCCACATGATGCAGGAACCCCACCTCTGCATCCCTTGTATTGCTGGGAGCTGTTTGATTCCCACCATCCTCCCATCCAACACCTCCCCTCACCCTTAGTCCCTCCCCATTGTATTCAAGACAGGGAATCCATACAAGGAGCTAGTTCTGTATAATTCTGTTGAAAAACTCAGTATGTTAGTAAGTAGAAGTTTAGTTTCTGGCTAGATGCTTTTTTAAAGTTGGAAGGAATCTTAATGATGCCTGAATTTGTCTTCTGTAAGAATCTTTTCTGCAATATCTGTTACATTTATCCTCTACCTGAGTATGTCAGATAACTCGCTGTTCTGCTCAACTGTTTCTTTCCTTTCTCATGTTGTTTCTATTCTAGTCTTCCTTTCCTTTTGGAATACCAACTATATATATGTTAACTGCTTTTATAAAAGACATGCTATTAAACAGGTTAACGTATTTTCTCTTTTGCTTTCTGTACTATAATCTTAATTTTCTTCTGACACTTTTCCAGCTCTCTAATTTTCTCTTTTTTGCCTATTCTGACATGCTGCTATGGGCATCCATTTTAATGATTATATTTTTTAAAGATTTATTTTATTTATTTATGCATACAAGAACGCCAGTAAGGCCAGAGGTGTGGGAGTGAGAGGATTCACCAGAGACATAGTGGGGAGCAAAACAGGCAGATCTTCTGAAATATACTATTGAGTAGCTGGTGTGACAGGAGAGATCTGCTGCCGTGGGAGGGGGCGGGGGGGGGTGTTGAACGCATACTACAGTGGCTGGCAGGCAATTGCTTGATAGCACTGAGACTTTTAACCCGTACACTGCCAGGGAAGCCCAATGATTATTATTTTTTTCCCCAATGATTGTGTTTAAATTACTATGTAATAACTTTTTCAGCTCTAGAATTTCCATTTGGCTTTTTTTTTTTTAATAAAATTCTTGACCTCGATTCTGAATCTTACCTCATTATCCCTGAACATATTCAGTGTAGTATTTTAAAAATTTGTCTGATTGGCCCTCCCTGGTGTCGCAGCGGGGTAAAGCACTGCACTAAGAAGCTTAAGCCACTTTCACATGAGTTTGATCCCCGCCTGCCCTGGAGGAGATCCACATGGCGTGGCAGACCTCTCCTCACCCGCCCGGTGCTTCCCTCAGCAGTGTACTTCGTCGATCTGCCTGTTCTGCTCCCCATGCTGTCTCTGGTGAATCCTCTCACCCTCTGCATCTCTGGCCTGAACCCCAGTTCTGTATGAATAAATAAATAAATTAAAAAAAAATTGCCTGATTACTCTGTCTTTAGATGTCCTTTGAGTATTGTCCGTTTTTTATAGGTTTTTAGTAACGTCTTACCTTGTCATTTTTGACTTGGTTTTATATCCTTGAGTGCTGGAATGGCACATGAAACATAGTATTGTTTAATTAGAGGCCTAGGATAAATGATACCTTGATTTCTCTCATTCTCCAGAGACTGGGTGTATTTGTTTCTAGGTAGGTCACTGAGCAAGAGACACTGGCAGTCCCAGAGCTGCTTGTCCCATGAACAGTTGTGAGGATTGAAAACTGGTTTTTAGTCCCTGGAAGATTTTCTCGTAATTTCTTTGCTTTCACCCTCAGTCCTAAGTGGAGCCTTTTTATGGCCCCAATATAAAATAGGCTGATTTGCCAGACCTCTATAAGAACCACTTTACAGAGCTCTTAGTGCTAATTATGGCTGCTTGCCACCAACCTCCCCTACGTGTTTTAAAAACTCTGCTAAACTTCTCAGCTTTCTTTTTTTATAATAGTTTATTTTTGCATCATTTCGTGCCTTTTTCCATCTCAGTTCTAATCCCCATAGGCTACCCATCACCAAATCACCCATGTGCCATCATCATAGTCCATTGTACCCTCCTCCCCCCCATTTCTGATCCCATTCCCCCCTCCACTCCCATCAAATGTCTCTGGTATATAGTTGTTCATTATTATTATTATTTTCTCCCTTGAGAAAAGAATATTCTTGCTATGAATGAAACCATCTGGTATTTTTTCCTTTTCTTTCTGGCTTATTTCACTAAGCATGATCTTCTCCAGCTCCATCCATGTTGCTGCAAAAGCCATGTGTTCTTTTTTGATTGCTGAGCTTCTCAGCTTGCTTTACTAGACATATCAGTCATCTTTAGGGGGAAAGCAGCCCTGTTAGCTCTTTGAATTTATTTTGGTTTTTGCTTTAAAGTTCTGACACAGATTGCTAACATTATTGATCTTTTGGTCAACTAAAAGCCAGCTTGTTCTTGTGAGTGTAAAGCTAGACCTGCTGTCCATACCATTGCCAGTTCTGCCACAATTATGAGTTGCTTTATTTTCTTTTTGCAACATTCTTCATTTTTGTACAACTTGTATGCTTTTTTTTTTCATCTTGGTTGCAACGAGTTGCTCTTCGATTTAGTTGCTCTTTGTTTTAAAGATTTACGTATTTATGCATACAAGAACTGGGGTATGGGCCAGAAGTGTGGGGGGTGAGAAGATTCACCAGAGACAGGGTGGGAAACAGAACAGGCTGATTGATTGAAATACACTGCTGAGGGGAGCAACAGGTGGGTCAGGAGAGGTCTGCTACGCATGAGGGTCAGCTCCCTGGCCGGGATCGAACTCTTGCTGCAGTGGATGCAGATAGCTTCATAGTGCTGCTCTTTAATCCTTTGAGCCACCAGGGAAGGCCACGTTGTTCTTTTTAAATACTGACTTTATTTCAACTTTTATTTCATTTCGTTTTGTTTTAGTCACTGTGTATGTGCCTTTCTGAGTAAGGCTTTCAGTTTTATAGATTGAGCTCTGTCATCTTTTTTCCTCCAAGTGTCTTTTGGTGCTTTATTTTTACAAATTGTAGCTTAATCAAGTGTTGGAAATTGGAAGGCCAAGAGTAGAGTTGAAATTTGAAATGTAGCTGTTTGGGGTAGGAAATGACTATCTCACTGGTGCTAACGATCAGCCTTGTGGGTTTGTTTGACTTAGATGAAAGTGAAGATGATGAAGATGATTTGTTGCAGAGGACTGGGAATTTCATATCCAGTTCGACTTCTCTTCCAAAGGGAATCTTGAAGGTGAGAGTCAGTGAAGTTGGCCCTATCTCGCCAGTTACCTGAAATCGGGTGTGTTTCTAGTTATATAAGTATATGGATTTCCATCATCTGTGGGATTGTGTTTGCTGTCATTTTGACTTGGTGTAAATAAGTTCCTTTCCCCCTCGCTCCCTTTGTAAAAATAATCAAGATTTAGAATATGTCCAGGCATCTTTCAAGAATCCTATTGGAGTTCTCTTGTGTTTCTTTCATTTCCATTGTTACCGTCCTGGTTTCATTCTGCGCTCTCCCCAGTAAACTGCAGTGCCTTTGTGGCTCATTTTCCCACTTCTGTTTTACTTCCTAAACTTTTTCAGATAGATGCTAAAGGCATCTTTTAAAGAAAATATTTGGTCATCATTTTTCATTGCTTTTTGAAAACTCTGTATTCCTTATTATCTATATGATCTGGTTTCTGCCTGTGTATAAAATACTTCTGACTGTTCCATCCTCCTTCATAAGGTTTTGTGAGTCCTTTCCTGCTTTTCTGATGCTCTTGCTTTTCTCTCTGTTCTTCAAGTGCTGCTAATGACCAACTCATTCTTTCCTTTCTGCTCAAATCACACATTAGAAAGATCTTTATATACTGGGTACTTTCTAACTCATCACTCACTGTGTCTAGCTATTTGCCGAGGTAACTGCCAGAGATGTCTGTCTACCCAGCACGGTGCTTCAGTTTCATGTCTTGTCAAATGACCATAGCTTCTGCTAAAACAGTGCCATGTGTATTCAGATGGGGAAGGCGATCTATTACGGTAAATTCTAGGGGGGAGGGTGAGTCCTATATAACTGAATCTTTAATGCAGGAGAGACCTGTATAAAGAAAGTAGTCCAGAGAAGCATGAGTGCATGATTACTCTAAATCAGTAAACGGTAAACTAGCGACTGTGTGTCCTGAGAAGAGAGCGTAGCAACCCATGTCAGCCAGGGAACCATGGGGGCGGCCACATAGTGCTGCTTGCTTTGTGTCATGAATGCAGAAATGGCCAGCATAGGAGTTTCAAGTAAAATTTCCCCAGAAGTCAGTGTCCTAACCCAGGTGGGTGTGTCTTGTGGAAATGACCATGTAGGGATGGTCAGAGACCTCCACGATTTAGTCTCCTTACTTGAAGAATGATAGAAATGGATCTTGCATAGTGATGTGACCTTCTGTTTGGCAGCAGGGCTGTGGTCATCTGTTGCCATCCCAGTGCACTTCTGGAGTATAAACCACTTTATTACATGTCTCTTTATACCTTAAAGAGCATAGTTTAAATGTTTTGAATTGATTAAATCCAGTTTTGTATTTCCATAGATGAAGAACTGCCAGCATGCTAATGCAGAACGGCCTACTGCTGCCCAGATCTCATCTGTGCAGTTCCATCCTGGTGCGCAGGTGGTGATGGTTGCTGGACTAGATAATGCTGTTTCACTGTTTCAGGTGTACAATTTATTTATTTTGTCTGTCTGTCTGTCTATTTAATCTATCTAGCAGGTTTGTTACTTGTGGTTCAGGGAGATCCTCTTGAATAACTTTATAAAAAAAGTCCATACAAGAACTGGGTTACAGGCCAGAGATGCAGGGAAGTGAGAGGATTCACCAGAGACAGAGTGGGGAGCAGAACAAGTAAATCGAGTGAAGTACACTGCTGAAGGAGCAGAGGGTGAGAAAGGAGAGGTCTGCTGTACCCTTGATCCTTGGCCAGGGATCGAACTTGTGCTGCAGTGGCTGCGGGTAGCTTCATAGTGCTGAGACTTAACCGCTGTGCCACCAGGGAGGGCTTGGGTATGCATTTTAAAATGAAGACTTGTAATGAAAAGTGTTTACTACCGGGATACAGGGTTTATGGAACTAACAGGAACATTCTGTCATCCCTTTTAGGTTGATGGGAAAACAAATCCTAAGATCCAGAGCATCTTTTTAGAAAAGTTTCCAATCTTTAAGGCTCGTTTTAGTGCCAATGGGGAAGAGGTTTTGGCCACTAGTACCCACAGCAAGGTTCTTTATGTCTATGACATGCTGGCTGGAAAGTTAATTCCTGTGCATCAGGTGAGAGGTAAGGTTTCTTTGATCACACAGTTGATCACCTCCTGTCTTCCTGCCTCCCACCCCCCAGGCCCTCAGCTAAATGCATTTAGAGCCTTTCCTCTTCTCACAGAATCATTAAAATAAGTGTCTTTTATTTCAGTGTTTAGAAAATGCTTTGTTTTTGGGATAATTTAATGAAAATAGTGAACCTATCTCCCATCCCCTCTTATTAATATGACTTTTTTGAGCATTTATGGAAAAGTTATCTGGAAATATAACTCTCCCTGACGAGAAAAAAATGGCTCGAGAAGTTCCTTGCAAGGTTAGCAGTTGATGCAGCAGAAAGAGAACAGAGAGCCAGATGACTTGGGTTCTACTTTCTTGGACAAATTATTTCACAATTCTGATCTTCAGGAAATTTGAATACTCTCTGGTTCTTCTAGTGTTTGTTGCAAGAAACTTTTGGTTTACATTGAAAGGAAAGAAATCTACTACATTGAAAGGAAAGAAATTACTACCTTTGGGGATAGTAATGTGTTCTAAAGAATGAAACTACCTTTAAAAAAGAAACTTTTTTAAAAAGGAAAGATGAGAATCTTTCTCTGACTTACCCAATCTTCCCCCGCATCCTCTGTCCCCGTTATCCCAGAATATATGACACCTTCACCAGAAACTCACAGCCCTTGTGTCTGGATTGACCCCAGTCAGGGGACTTAGGATGTTATATCTGGGGCTAAGACTCATGGGGAGGCCCAGTCTGCAGTTGTGTGAATGAACCCTTCAGGCAGAGACTGCTGGGAGCCCTAACTAGCATTTTCCCTAAGGAAGGATAAGAGCTCTTCACTAGATTTTTCTAAGTTCTGTTTCTCTAATTGGTATTTTAATTTAGTGACTTGAAAATTTGTTTTATTATTGCACACTTCTTAGCAGCAACCAGTAACAAAGGTGTATCATGGGCCTTTCTCATTTTATGCTTGTGTATATATGTGTCTGTGTATGCTTGTAAACACCAAAAGAATATACAACAAATCCTGAGTAGTGATTTTTTTTCTGGAAAATGGGATAAGGGATTTGAGGGTTTTTTTCTTAATTAAAATTTTTTTCAGATTAATACTGGTTAACAACACTGTGTATGATTAGGGGGATAGGTTCATACCCCCTCAGGTGTATATCACCCACCACCCCGTGACTAGCACTCACCGTCCTTTCTAGATCATTGGGCTCCTGTCCCTACTTTGTTCCCACCCCACCTTCCTTTCCCGTCTAGTATTCTAATTCTGCAGTCATCTTTCGGAGGTTTTGAAATTTTAAATAAAATTGTTTTTGACCAGGCAATATGTTCATTAAGGTACCTACAAAAATTTAATATTTAGAAATGGGAGATGGTGCAGGTCTCTTCAGCTCCATCTTCTTGGCCACCTACTTCCCTCCCTGCTTGAAGCCATTCTTTATATGTCCTTCCTGTTAGGAAATTCTTTATTGTAACTTGTCTCTCTAATCTGTCTGATAACAGAGGGAGTCTTATGCATAGTGTGAGGTTTTTAGGCAAGGAAAAGGGACATGTTCTTTTGTAAATGAATATATTGACCTGGCATATTAGCATATTGGTTACACAAGTCACATCTTGAGAAGCTAACCAGCTCCGGAATACTCTTGACATCTGATGTTTCTCTCTCTCTTTTTTTTTTTTTTGGATCCACACTGTTCAGTTAGACTTAGTGTTCCTGAAGGTAGGGTTGGTTACCATGTTTTGGCCATCTCTAGTAGCTATGTTCCTTCTGGCTATACACTTCGTGACAAGCAATATTGTTTATCCTTTTAGCTATCTACAAGTTTCACTGCCTATATTTAGAAAATTAGTTGATAGGTTTACTGTTTTGAGAGATAAAGCTCTAGCCTATGATTAAAATGGAGAATGTGACCAGAACGAGAAGTTGCTGAGCACTTTGTGGTGACCTTACACTTAACGATGTGTAGGATGAGACGTAGTCAGCCTCTGCCTAGGTTTTGCTGAACTTGAGACATTTAGATGATGCAAAAGGCCAGAAACTTCAATTGTCAGAGGAAGATTGAAAGCAAAGCAGTATTACTCCCTGTCTTACTGAGTAACCTCCATTCTTAGGTTTGAAGGAGAAGATAGTGAAGTCATTTGAAGTTGGCCCAGATGGGTCCTTCCTGCTCATAAACGGCGTTGCTGGATATTTGCACTTGCTGTCAATGAAGGTGAGCTGTTATGAGCTATTGTTGCTTGTTCTTCTGAAATAAGATATTAGGGTTAGGGTGGCGTCTTTAAGTCTCCATCTCAAATACAGGAGCATGGTTTAATGTGGGGACAGGGAAAAACAGTGCAACAAATACAAAAACCCAGTGACTTATCTACACAGTAGGATTCTTCCAGGCACCTCCTAACAATTTGATAAATGTTATTACCCTTTTAGACTAAAGAATTGATTGGCAGCATGAAAATTAATGGGCGGGTGGCAGCCTCCACGTTCTCTTCAGACAGTAAGAAAATATATGCCTCTTCAGGTAAGTTTATGATAGGGTGACACAAAGAAGCAGGCTTTGCATATGTGTGTGATTCAGTCACCAAAGTAACTGCTTTGGTAGCAGTTTTAGTGAAAAAATGAGTCTGACTTACTATTGTCATTTGCCTTATTTACTAACTACTAAGTGAGATGGGCTAATGATTCATGTTTTGGGGGGGAAGATGGGAAGAAAATGCTTATTTACAAGATGATTCATTCTGATATTTCCTTTTTTGAATGTGAGAAATACAGATGCTGCTGATTACATTACATTAGTTGATTAAAAAGAAACAAATGAAACTAACTCAACTTTGTAAAAGTTCAATTTCAGGCCAAAAACAAAAAGTTAATACTCTAGTTAATCTCTTTTTTAGAAGATTTAAGTTCCTTGCCTTTTCTTCTTTAGCAGTGCCCCTTTGACTTTAATAACATGTTTTTTACATTATTGTCTGAAAACAACTCAGGTCTCTTGGCATTTCTGTGGCACTGACATTCTGTCGCTGGCATTCTATAGGCTGTTCTTTCTCAAGCCTGATGGGCTTGACTCGTGCTGTGTGGCTCTTCTGCCTGTATGACTGTTCAGTATCCTCTTTCACTCTTCTTTCCCAAAGGCTCTGGGTGTGCTCCGCATGTCAGGGTAGCTTCTGCTGCTTGGTAGCGGGAGGCTTAGCGTGGTTCTGCTTGCAGTGTGCAGAACATTTGAGCAGGTTTTTATTTGACTTCCTTTAGTGAGATGCAGTATTAATTTTTTTCCTTTTTAAAGATTTATTTATTTATAGGATGAGAGGATTCACCAGAGACAAAGTGGGGAGCAGAACAGGCAGATCGACGAAGTACACTGCTGAGGGGAGCAGCGGGCGGGTCAGGAGAGGTCTGCCGCGCCATGTGGTTGCCTCCCGGGGCAGGCGGGGATCAAACTCATGCGGAAGTGGCTTAAGTTTCTTAGTGGTGTGCTTTAGCCTGCTGTGCCACCAGGGAGGGCCACAGTATTCTTAAAGAAAATTTAAATCTTTTTTAAAAAGAGAATTCACTGTAACATTAATTTTTAATTTTCTGTTCTTGTCCTAGAATTGAACCTTGTACAAAGCTGAGTTAGTTACATTTGAGTTTTTTAAATCAACTAATATAAGAAGTTCAGCAGCATCTATATTCCTTGTAATCTGTGTTTTCTCAGAGGTAAGGAATAAATCCTGGCTCAGGGTAATACTCCTAATAACATGGCCCTTGGGTCTAGGGAGACTGAAAATTCGGAAGAAGAGGTGGAGAAGGTTCCACAGAGGTAGTGAAATCTGGCTTATGAATTGGATGCAGATTCATTTGTTCACTACCCTGGAGGTCTAATTTACCATAGGTGCTAACGCAGGGGAGGAGGGTCAGAAGCTCAGCCTTGTTAAAAGTTAGAGGTTGCCTATATTTTCTAAAGATTTATTTATTTATGCATACAGGAACTGGGGTACAGGCCATAGGTGCAGGGGGTGGTGGGTGTGTGAGAGGATTCTCCAGAGACACAGTGGGGAGCAGAGCAGACAGACAGATTGGAATACACTGCTGAGGGGAGCAGTGGGCAAGACAGGAGAGGCCTGCTGCTCCATGTGGGTCAGCTCCCTGGCGGGGAATTGAACTCATGCTTCAGTGGCTGTGGATAGCTTTATAGTGCTGAGACGTAACCCCTTGTGCCACCAGGGAGGTCCCATGACCTAAGTTTTTACTTGTTGTATCTTGCACTATTAAAGAAGGACTACGAATGATTAGATCATTTGCTTTTTAAGTTTAAAGTAATATTAACAATCTTTTTTTTGTTTCATTTAGGGGATGGGGAAGTTTATGTTTGGGATGTCAATTCTAGAAAGTGCCTTAATAGATTTGTTGATGAAGGCAGTTTATATGGATTAAGCATTGCCACATCTCGGAATGGACAGTATGTGGCTTGTGGGTAAGTAAAGAGAGACCCTTGCAAATTTTTTTTACAGATTTATTTATGTATGCATACAGAGCTGGGGTGCAGGCCAGAGGTGCAAGGGTGGTGAGAGGATTCACCAGAGACAGAATGGGGAGCAGAACAGGATGACTGAGGAAGTACACTGCTGAGAGGAGCAGTGGGTGGTTCAGGAGAGGCCTGCCGCGCCATGTTGCTCAGTACCGGGACTGTGGATCGAACTCGCACTGAAGCAGCTGCAGCCACCGTGCAGTGCTGCGTCTTCACCCACTGCACCACCAGGGAGGGCCCGGCCCTTAAAATTTTAACTAAAGAGAAAATATGAAGAATTGGATATACTGGAGAGTGCTTGAGTAGTTCTGTTTATAAACTATTCCACAATAAAGATTTTTACATTTTATTGTCTTTTTTAAGTTTTATTTATGCATATAAGATCTGGGGTGCAGGCCACAGATTCAAGGGGTAAGAGGATTCACCAAATAAAGAGTGGGGAGCAGAACAGACAGATCTCTTGAAATAACACTGCTGAGGGGAGCATCGGGAGAGTGAGGGGAGGTCTGCTGTGCCATGTGGGTCAGCTCCCTGGCTGGAGTTCGGACTTGTGCTGCAGTGGCTGTGGGGACCTTCATGGTGCTGCCTGTGTCTTAACCCTTGTGAAGAAGGGAGGGTCCTTCATCTCATTGTCTTACTGTAGTATTTAATGATAATGTCAGTTTATCAGCTCTTTAGTGTTTAAAATAATTGGGTTGCCTTATGACATTGTATTTTTTCTTTTTGAAATTACATTGGGGTTTCCTTTGTTATTTTAGCATCTTATTGATGTAGTAGAGGAAGTTAAAATGTTGTGTTTAATATTTTGCTTTTTAAGCACAAATGTGGATTTCCTTAAGTCATTTTTTCCTGAGTCTGGCCAGGGGGTATTACCCAAAACATATTCCTTGGACATAGTGTTAGTTTTGTGTAATCTTTTAAAATGTTATGTGAACACATTACTGTGTTATCACAGGGAAAGGCAGCTAATCCACTGGGGAAAATATGGCTTTATTCTCATATTCCTAAAGATGCAAGGTGGGAGAAGGATTTACTTTTTATTATAAAAGTATTGAGTGTAATTTATTGCTGGTCAACATTTCAGAAAACTTGGAGTAGGTGATCTTCTGTAATTCTTGACTGTAGATAGATCATTAGAGTACAACACAGATGCGCTGTTTTGAAAGTTCTTACAAATATGATGGGGGAAAAAAAGGAGATCTAGCTAATAAGATAGCTCTCTTGTTCACATGTTGGAATATAAAGTCTGCCATAAATGCCACGAGCGGGGCAGTTTTAGTCTTTTGCATTCAGGTATTTAAATAGTGCCACCATAGAGGTGACAAATAGTAAATATCAAGGGCATGAATAATGAGATTCTGTGCTTTGGTGGACTTTCTAACTACATCTGCAGTGGAAAAGCTACCAGAGTTATTTTAGTAAGAGTTTAGCCGGTCTGCAGTAGAACTGTAGGCCATCCGTTTCCAACTTTTACATGGGCATAAACTCTAAAGCCCCACTAGTTCCTTCTTGACGTAGATTCCAGTAGACAGGGGTTTGTGAGGTTGAATCCATATTCACTTAATTTATAAAAGACTTTTTGCTTGTTTTTAATCTGTTGTATTATTCCCTTTTCTCTTTGCAGTTCTAATTGTGGTGTGGTAAACATATACAATCAGGAATCTTGTATCCAAGAAACAAACCCAAAACCCATAAAAGCTATAATGAACTTGGTCACAGGTGTTACTTCTCTAACCTTCAATCCGACTTCAGAAATCTTGGCAGTTGCTTCAGCAAAAATGAAAGAAGCAGTCAGATTGGTAATAATTCTTTACCCTTTGCTTTTCTCATTGAACATTGAATCTTAAAGTCAAAGCTGAAAACACAGAATTGTGACAGGAAGGGAGAGTATTGGATTATTTTAAAAGCATAGCTTTTTGATATAGAAATTATTGGTATTGTTTGTAGATGTGGTTGCAGAAATGATACTTAATAGCCACATTTGTGTTATGTCAGTTCTTTGAGGAAAACTGTTGATCTTAACACTCAGAGGTTTTCTTTTAGCATATGTGTGTGAAGGAATGTTTAATTCAAACACTTTGTTCCTCTAAAATTTCCATTCATGTACCTTTCGAAGGCCTGTTAGCTTAACGAATAAGTGGAGCAATTCTAAACTGTTAAAATTAGATTGAGCTTGAAATAACTTATGTTTGGGATTTAAGGACCTGGGATATACCTCTTTGCCAACTTTGCTGACTTTCTGGACTCAGTATGTGGTCATATTGATGACTAAATGATTATTACAGGGAAAATACTCCAGTAAAATCAGCAGAATGAAAGGTGTGCTGTGTGCAGAACCTAGAGGAACCAGAGGAGGCTTCTGGGTGTCCTCTACTGGTAGAGACCTGCAAGAGGGTTGTAACTCCAGCAGAGTTGTGATGACAGGGTTAAGTGTTAACTACCAGGGAAGCTCACCAGAGGCTTGGTCACTTAGGTGTGTATGGAGGTTGATCCTGTAGGTTCCCTCTGTTTCACATGTACCAAAATTTTATGCTCCTGGAAGACGAGTGTTGAGTATAAATCACTGTACAAATGAACCTTATAATTTGAGGAAGTGTTCATGCCAGGTAGGGAACTATTTATCAGTCAGCCACCAGAGGGTCACTCGTGCTGCTAAGTGGCCATTTAAGGTTAGCAGCTTCAGCCATGTTTGCACTTATTCCCCAACTGCAGAGCTCAGCTTGCATGTGACTGCATCTCTGCAGAACCAGTGTCTTTATCCAGCTAACAGTATTTTCCTGTAGGCACTAGCTATCGGACGGCACAGAACTTTGAATTAGCAGCATTGCATTGTGAAGCTGTAATATGTACACTGCCAGGTTGTAAGCACATTACAGAATTTTGTCTTGCTCCCAGCACTGTCTTTCATACTTTATAACTATTTGTACAATAGTGTATAATTTCTAAAGATTTACAAAGAAATGTATAAAAAAATTAAAGCCAAACAGTAGTCCTCATAGAGTTAATTTACCCAAAGTCAACAGCTAGTAAAAACACAGAACTGTGTCTGTGGATTCTATATTCTCTCATTTTAATGGTTTTCCAAATGAATTCCTTGGCGTCCTAGAATGTGTAGAGAACTTCAGGTGATGCGGGGAACAGCAGGGAGGTGGCTACGTTCCGACCTCTGTCCTGCAGAGCAGCTTGCTTTCCTCTGTGGTGTATATTGGCATTCATTCAGCATAGGCTTCTCCTTGCGGGGAGGAAGGATTCTGCACAAAATGTTTAAGAATACAGCATTGTGTTTTATTGCCTTTCTGTTGAATAAATCACTTGATAAATGAGAAAGTTCTAATTCAAATAGCTTTAAAATACCCACTCCTCTGTTGGGAGTGGTAGACTCGTACATATTAACTTTTCATCATTTTAATAGTAGTAAATTGTTTTAGAAAACCATGGTATCTATCCCCTGTTGACATAATATATTCTGTAAGATGCTTAGTAGTTAGTTCTGCCTAGTTTGCTTCAGTGATCATGGTGGCATTTATGGTTTTTTATTGTGGCAAAATCACACAAGGAATTCATTAGTAACAGCCACGTCCCATTTTTTTAGTGTTAGTCAACCATAATATCTAATGGAAAGAAGCCAGGCAGAGCAGCTTCAGAATGCCTCAGTGAAACTGTGTTAGTATATCATTAAACACAGTATCTTATAATGATCCAAAACAGTTCTGTTATCCCAGCACAAAGCAGTAGCTATAAATCTAAGCCATTGCAACACTGAGAGGCACAGAAATTAAATTGTTATTATATCTACAGTCTTGGGTGTGGGAAGCAGGCGGAGTCTTACCATTAAATTGAGGGTGAGTGAGCTTTTACTTGTTGAGTGTTGAGATCTGAACCCTTAAACATAATCACAGAAGTCGGGTTAGAGATAAAAGAAACTTTCTGAGTTAAGGAACTTGGATTTTTGTTGGTCTTTTTCCTTTTAATGGTGGCTTTTAACTGGGGTCATAGGGGAGGTTGGAGCACAACTGAGTCCCAGCCACTTGGTCTATGGGAAGTTGCAGGAAGGCAGTGAGAAACCACTTAGGAGACTTTGCTAGTAGTTAACAGTAAGTCTCGTGGGAGGACATACACATCCCCTCACCCCCATTTCCAGACCAATAGAGGAGATAAAGTATAAAGATAAGTTGTGGGTATTAATTTATCCTCCATCAGAGCTAACCCACATTAGCCTGCGTGTGAAGGCTAGGCACTGTGTGAGGATACCACACCCCAGGGGACAGTTTGCATCATAAACTTCCTAAATTTGTGTGTTTACCAGAGTTTATGGTACTCTGTTCTGTTCATTTAGTTACAAAATGCCAAAACCTTCTGATAACAGTGAGCTATAAAACACTGCTTATGTGTCTTGTGCCTGAATTTTTGCCTTGCAATGAGCTCTCTATTTGTTACATGCAGTTGACTTAACTATAATGCTACATGAATCCAAATCAGAAGACTGTTTTTCCCAGTTTAGGTTGGAAAACAAAAGATATTTTGTTATAATTTTCTCTTAAGGTGTTCAAGTAGAATATATGCAGAAGAGCGGCTCCCCAAACTTAAAGTCATGCCAGGAAAGCTAATGAGCAAATATCTAGGACATAGTTTCAGAACATTAGGTTAAATATAGAGTGGAAACAAAAGAGGACACAGGACAGTTCTGTTTTTGGCACTAGTGACAGAGAGTTATTTCTTCATGTCTTGCTGCTATGATGTGAGGGGCTATCTTCTAATTCGTGCAGGCTGGGAGGATGCAAAATTGTAATGACCTAAGCAAAGCAATTAAGAAGCCACTCCACTTGTCAAAAATTTCATGTGTGACTTCTCTTCTAAAATATTAGCCTCAGAAATCTATACAGTGAATGGTGTTTAAGAAGTTTAAAAGTTAAGGTGAACTTGGGATATTGCCAGTTTCTTAGCTTCAGTGGGTCAAACTCTTTCTTATTGGCACTGATGCCTTTGCATTGATGCCAGGCTATGTAGGTAGAACCAGTTGCTTGGAGAATTTGCAAATAATTGGAAATGACTTAGAGACTCATTGTAAACTCTTGTTCTCGACAAAATGGTCAGTAGGACTTCACCCGCAGGAGTAGGTCCTGGCTATTCCAGGTGTGACCTGACACTCGTCTGTGATAATCCCCTTGGTTAGATGGTGCAGAGTCTCATCTAAAGCCTGGAGGATTACAGATGAAAGATACACTGAATGGTAGCTCTGTATGTACTTGAATATGAAGGTGTGTGTTTCCTGGAAGAGCTGGAGGACTTTTGAAAGTGAGTTTGTTAAAATTTCAGTCTGCTGAGAGTGACTGGGTTTTACTTAACCACAAATCACATGTTGTCTTGCCTATCATTGGGCCCCTGGAACTTGGGCCCATTTTTCCCAGGTGTAGACTCTTAGAGAAAGAGATGGTGCCCCTCCTCATGCCAAGGCCCGGCCTTGAAGTGAGCTTTGGCTCTCACTAAATTAGAACAGTTTTACTTGATGAACCAGGTTTTCATGGTTCAGTCCTCCCCAAAGAGAGATTGCAGGCCTGCAGTAATATATCACATAGTTGAAAAGTAGACGTGTAAAAAGGAAATTACATGATACTGGAGTACTTGGGATGACCTTGTGTAGGCTTCTGTTATATAAAATGAGACTCTGCGATGTTTAAGGTGTCAGTTCCCTTGATTAGTATTCTTTACTGTGGTCATTGATGTAGGACATGAGTGGGTGTCACTGTTGGCTTTTCATTTTAGTTTTTACTTCATTCAGCAAACATTTGAGTTAGACGCAAGTGAAAATACTACATAAAAAGCATCAAGAAAACACTTCTTTTGCTTCCTTTAATAGCACATGGGAAATTAAATTTTAATTTTGGAATACTTTGTTACCTTAAGAGAAAGAACTGTGTTATGTGCATTACATTCAGGATGAACTTTCTGTTCCAGCAGAAAGACAGAATGAAGACTACCAGTAAAAAAGATGGGTTGCTAGTTGTTACAGTTTAAAGCTAAAGCTTTTCATTATCTCCAACAGGTTCACCTTCCATCCTGTACAGTGTTTTCGAATTTCCCAGTTGTTAATAAAAAGCATATTTCTCTTGTTCATACCATGGATTTTTCTCCCAGAAGTGGATATTTTGCTTTGGGGAATGAAAAAGGAAAAGCTATAATGTACAGGTAGGTATTATTTATGTTGAAAAGTCGGAGATACCAATCAGTTTCTTTTCAAAATGTGAAGAGATACTGTTACTGTATTCCCGATTCTCTGATTATATTCAGTTAGTCTATAATTATTATAGTTTTAAATAATTAATTGTAGAATGTTTATGACCATCATCATCCTAATTAGTGAAATGTACATATTTCTGCAATAAAATATTACTAGCAGTCAAAAAACTTCCCAGTAGAAAATACCTGGGAAGTGTTTTGGGGGTGAGAGGAATGTATTTTAATTTTCATTGGCATGTGATTGACATATAGTATTATATTAATTTTAGCAGTACAAAATAATGATTTGATCAGTGTATTATAATGGAGTCATTATCACCATAAGTATGCTTAACATTTATTACCATATAAATTACAAAAAATTTTACTATGGTAAGAACTTTTAAGATCTTCTTTTGGCGACCTTTAAATACAGTTTTCCCTATATTTCATGTTAGGTAGGACATTATTATTTGTGTGCTTTGGTAGGCTACACTCAAAATTTTTTTTTTTTAAAGATTTATTCATTCATACAGAACTGGGGTACAGGCCAGAGATGTGGAGAGTGACAGAGTGGGGAGCAGAACAGGCAGATCGATGAAGTACACTGCTGAGGGGAGCAGCGGGTGGGTCAGGAGAGGTCTACCACGCCATGTGGATCTCCTCTGGGCAGGCGGGGGTCGAACTCATGCGGAAGAGGCTTAAGATTCTTAGTGCAGGGACAGAGTGGGGAGCAGAACAGGCAGATCGATGAAGTACACTGCTGAGGGGAGCAGCGGGCGGGTCAGGAGAGGTCTGCCAGCCATGTGGTCACCTCCGGGGCAGGCGGGAATCGAACTCATGCGGAAGAGGCTTAAGATTCTTAGTGCAGTGCTTTAACCCGCTGCGCCACCAGGGAGGGCCACAAGTTTTTTTTCTATATAAATTAGTCATAATAATGTTACCAGACTCCAAAAAGGAACTACTAAATGGTATCAAATAAGAACATTCTACTTTCAAAGTGTTGTTAAACTTCAGTCACCATGCTGTATCAAATTAAGGGAAAAGCGCTATCCCTTGAAGTTCAGATAACCTTTGTTGGTTTGACAATTCTTTACGTACCCCACCAGATTTTTTTTAAGGCTTTTCTTTCATCCTGCAGTTGTAAGCTGTAAAAATGGTGTTAGCTGCAAAGATAACCAAAGTCATGTCCTTTGTCCAACTTCTTTTCTGCACTCAACATACCTGACTATACAGGGGAGCATTGATTGTTACTAGAAGAAATAGGTGATAAAGTGACTGGGGACAGCTGAAGAGTGGAAGGCTGTGACATTCCAGTCCCCTCCCTGCCTGGGGCGCTGGGGGTGCTCGCTCTGCAGCCTGCACTGTGCTGTGCTTCAGGGAAGGCCGCTTTCAGAATCAGCTGAAGTCTCTGGGAATGAAAAGGAGGGATGTAAATTGGTTTTGAGGCACTACTTGTGCAAAAATAAAATAGCAGAATATAACATGGTTTAAAGTTCTACTTTGAAATGGATGTTACTGGGAAAAGTGATAATTCTGTCACTCATTTCAGATAGGTTTTGGAGTGATTTTTGCAGTTCAGGTCCTTATTGTACTTATAAATTCTCTTCTAAAGCTTTGGTTTATTTAATAACTCAAAGTTTCTTTTCTCAAAGCTCATTTTCAGCAGAGCTTTGATCTCTAATGAGTCTTCTTGCAAGTGGTTTGGATTGACAGTATTTCTCTTGGGTGTTGTCTGGATGGGTATTTCACAGACCCAAGTTTGATGCTTTTAGACCCCAGTTTGATGCTTTTATCTGAAATATCAGATTGAGGACTCTTAGCTGCTTGGTGAGAATGATTATGATTACATTTTTCCCCCCTAAAATGTTCCTTAGTACTGTTCTGTAATCTGATTGATACTATCCTGGGTAATCACAAGGTTGTTTAGATGACTTGTCTTTTACTTTTTCAGATTGCACCATTATTCGGATTTCTAAGGAGATTATTTGAAGTAAGAAAATCCTTTTTTTATTTTAAGTTTTAAGGGTTACACCATTGCTGTCAGTTGGCAGAGCCGATTTTGTTTCTGAGCCCTTGGATTGCTATATTTTCAGTGAGGATAGTGGGATGGAAGTAGATGAGGAAGAACCTAGTGGATTTGAAACTTCCTTGGGAATTTCTTATCCTAAATTGCAGCAATCTGATTCTCTTCTCTGGGGGTCACATCTCTAATACTGTGTTCAGTAGCTGTTACGTATGGCAAATCGAGAAGCCAGCCAGAGAGTCAGATGAAGCCAGCCCAGTAACAGACCCTAGAGATGTGACTGTAGAGTGATGTTACGAGGGGGCAGCGCAAGAACAAGGGGGCGGGAGCGCAGTGACTATGGTGAAGGGAGGGCCTGTACTTCTAAGCCAAAACAGTTGTATTGTAAATCACTGTCACTGCAATAAAATAATTGAGATTAAAAATGTAAACAAAAGAATCCCAAAATTGTAACTGCCAACCATTTAATCCACAAAGGAGAGTTGACGTGATCAAGTGTCTTCAGATCTAATTGTAGCTTACATGAATGCCACCTCTGTTATTTTGTATGTTTCTGGAGAGATTATAAGTGGCTTGCCCCATAGCAAGTTAATGGTAGTGGTCGCTGGTCATTCGTTTTGCGTCTGTTGTTTAAAACAGTAATACCTGCTTTTTTCATAGCCTGATCTTTGTTCTGAGATAAGGTGGTTCTGAGGTTGAGCTTTGCTACTAGCTTAATTTAGTATACTCAACCATTTGATCTTTGAGGTCTGTAATGTTGAGGAGAAACTCAGGGATAACGTAAAGGTTTAATTAGGGAAAAGACTTTTTGAAGATAGAGGCGTTTCGAGCAGAAGATTAGTCAGGATGGGGAAGTAATTTAGCTGTCTGTCTCCAAAAGTGTGTTGCCCTTACGTGTTACTTGTTGATTACCAGAGCCTGTAAATAAGTACAATCAAGTATATAATTTCTTGGTGTTTTGTTTTTTTTTTTTCTTCAGCTCCAGTTGAACTGTAAGAGAAACCTTTCCTGAGATATCTTCTCAGGAACTTGCCTGAAAGTATGATAGTATGTGGATGATTGAGCCACTTGTACTTATTTAAGCTAACAGAAATATCTTAATAAAATACAAAGTTTTATTGGAAAATAAGTGTGTTTTGCTTTTTCCCCCTCCACCTACACACACACATACAGAGCTTGGATACATTGAAGACTAAATATGAGTATTAACAACACCTAGATGTAACTAAAAATAATGTAGGACGATGTTTTCATAGTTCACAGTAAACCCTGATTAATATCTCCCCCATTTTAGCATAGTTTTCTCTGTGTTTACAGGTATTAGCTAACAGGCGCTGGTGATGAGCTATGGAGAGCAGCTGAATGGATATGAGAGCAGTGCTGTCTTGTGGGCTGGATTCTGAATTTTGAACCTCCTAGAAAGGAGGTTTGGGAGTGAAAAGATGATTTTGGATTTGGTACTTGGACTAATTATGATTGTTACTTAGGGAGAGATACACTTGTCCTAATACTAGCCCCTGTCCTGGAAAGTACTTGTTAAGCAGAATGTTTAATTTTGCTTACAAGATTATAACTAGTTTATAATTCTCTTAGCCATAATAAAGCCTTGCTTTAGAAAGCCCCTCCATTTCTTAGGGAAAACTGATGCTGTATGATGTATTTAAGCAGTATTACAGGGGATTAGTAATGAACAGTATCAAGTAGGCCCCACCTATTCGCTAAAACATGAAAAAGTCAGGCTAGAGGAGTTTTTTTGAGTGACAAAATGGCTCTTCCTCAGCTCAGAAAATTAATAGATTCTACTTAACTGTATTCAAAGGAACAGGTCAGTGGAGGATGTCGTCATTGCTGAAGTGAAGCTCCAGGACTACTGGCAGGGATCTAAAACAGCCCCATCTTAGGGGCTGCCGGCATCACAGCAAAGGTGGCCTTTGCCTTGCAGTGGTGGAGTCTTCTGTCCCTTCCTTTGGTAATAAGCATACTAGAAATTTCACAATCCTTAAACCAGTTGGTTTATTAGTATTTCTCTCTGGAGTTGCTAGAGGGCAGCATTACATTATGTGAATAATTGAAAGCAACAGAAATGTAGCACTTTACCATCACCTTGACTTCAGCTAAATCAATGTTTTGGGTGGGACACCAGCCTTGAGTGCACTTACTTTTTGTGTATGATTTTTGGAGTGAAAGATTTACAGGAACTCATTATTCTAGAGGAAATAATAGAGATGAAATGTCATCTCTACTTCACATCTTTGGATCACTTTTTTTTTTAAAGATTTATTTATGCATGTAGAACTGGGGTACAGGTCACAGGTGCAGGTGCCGTGAGAGAATTCTCCAGAGACAGCGGGGAGCAGAACAGGCAGATGGACTGAAACACGGTGCTGAAGGGAGTAGCAGGTGAGACAGGAGAGGTCTGCTGTGCCATATGGGTCACCTCCCTGGTCCAGGGTCAATCAGGTGCTGCAGTGACTGCCAATAGCTTCATAATGTTGAGACTTAACTCCTTGTACCACCAGGGAGGGCCCCTATTTTTGTATTCTTTATATACTAAGTCCCCCCTCATCCAGGCAATACATTTCAAGATCCTCAGTGGATGCTTGAAACTGGATAGTAGCAGATTTTATTATGTCCTGTGTTTCTTCCAATAAATACCTATGATAAAATCTATAAAATAGAAAACGGCATAATAAGAGGTTAATAAATGTCAGTAAATAAAGTAAATAATAAAGGTTATGTGAACTTTCAAAATAGGTTACTGTAAATAATATATTTTAGACTTGTTGACAGGGATAAAAACCACAGAAAGTGAAACTGGGTGAGGGAGAGTGCCTGAAATATTAACTCCCACTAACCTAATGATTTAGACTAGGTACCTAAGACTACCTTTCTGTCTGTCCGTTCATCTGTCTGGCCAGCCAGCCAGCCAGCTAGTTAGCTAGCTAACTATCAGTCATCTGCCTGCTTACATGATAATGCACTTGAGTTTTTTTTTTCTCTTTTTAGGTAACTGGTTTACAATACTATGATTTAGGGGAATAGGTTCTCCCCCTGCCCCACGAGGTGTGTCACCCACCATACTCCCTACCAAGGAGCCATACAGTGGTTTACCATTGATCATTGGGCCCCTCCTCTCGGTTTCCCTTTGCTCTCCCCATGTAGTACCCACAATTCTACCATATTCGTAGAGCTTGTTTCGGCTTAGCTTTTTCTCTACCTTATCCCAAAGACCTAGCTTTTTCTTTACCTTACCCCATTTTAAAGACCAATTACCAAGCATGTTTTTCTCAAAAAATGCTGTCAACCCCAGCTCTCATGAGCTTATATACCTGCTAAACAAAACCCTACCTAGTTTTATTACTTCCTACTGTATACTTTTCAGTGGGATCTCCACATTATAGGCAAAGATAAAAAAAATAAGTTAAAACAAAAACATTTGTTATGTAAAACTTCAAACACACAAAAAAGAGATAGTTAGTAGAATAATCTCCCTTGGGTGCATTCCCCAGCTTCAGCAACAATCAGCTGCTGGAAGTCTTTATCTGTGTTCCCACCCACAGATGGGTTATTTTGACGTAAAGCCAAAACAGATAATTTCAACTGTAAATATTTGAGCATGTATAGAGAGGTGTTTTTAAAATAGAAATCTCAGCCTACTATCTTGCTTAATTCCTTTACCCACTCATCTCTCCCAGACACTTTAATTCATTTCCCTCTCTCTGGAAGGGGATAAACATACCCTGTCCTGCAGGGTTAGTTTCTAGGTTTGGAACAGTGCTTGACCCAGAGCAAGCTCTCAGGCAGCGTGAGCTGGCATGTTATAATCATTGTGCCATCGTCGGGCACAAGGTGATAGTCAAGCTCCTTAGCTTGGTAAATAGGTCCTTTATTTCAGCCTCTTCCCATCCTCCTTCTTTCTTACTCACTTTATACTCCAGAACTCTTGAGCTATATGTTATTTACTTGAATAAGCCTGCTTTTCTCCCCAAACCCTGCTCCTGCAGACCTGTCCTTACTATCCTTTTTCTGTCTTTCCAACACTGCTAATGGCATCACTCACTGGGAATTTCTCATGTACATTTTTGGGGGGATGTAAATTTTGTCCTAAATTTTTTTTTAAAATGCTTTTTTTTTTTTTAAAGATTTATTTATTTGTACATAGAGAACTGGGGTACAGGCCAGAGGCTCAGGGGCGGTGAGAGGCTTCACCAGAGACAGAGTGGGGAGCAGAACAGGCAGACTGACGAAGTACACTGCTGAGGGGAGCAGCGGGCGGGTCAGGAGAGGTCTGCCACGCCATGTGGTCACCTCCAGGGCAGGCGGGAATCGAACTTATGCGGAAGTGGCTTTAGCTTCCCAGTGCTGTGCTTTAACCCACTGCGCCACCAGGGAGGGCCTTTGTCCTAAATTTTTAATTCTGAAAATGGATGAATTTCTATTGTATCTATATCTTTTGTTGCATTTTTTTTTTGTCTTTTATGCAGTCTTTGCATGGAAAATCTGAAGTGACTTTTCAAAACCTACATTAAGAGAGGGCAAATGAGGACTAGATGGGGTAAATTAGATCCCAAGTATGTAGGCCAGATGTGGTTACTAAAATTGGATTACAATTTTTTTTTTTTTTCAGTTTTGGCCTAAGCAACATTCAAATAAGTTTTCTGGAAAAATATCTATTTCAGGAGAACCAGTAGGTTGTTTTTGTCATTTGAGTCCATTGTTTATTCAGATGTTAGAGACAAAACCTGAAGTAGCGGCTTACATCAAAACTAATTTGTCATTTATTGAAGTCTATCTGCTTTCAGAATCCGTCCAGTGCGTCACCAACACACCATTTCTGGTCAGTGTGTCTGTGGTTCTTTGCCTGTGTCTCATGGCTACAAAATGGCTGCTGTACCTCAAGTCCCAACCCCCACACCCAAGGCCAGGAGGAAGCAGGGGCTTGTGCAGGGATGGGACAAAATGGCCTCTCTCCTGACAGGGCTTTTATGTTTGATCAGATGAGAAAGTTTTCCCTAGAAGTCACCCTGCAGACATTCCCTCGTGTTTCTTTGGCCCTGGACAACCCCCAAACCAGTCACTGTCAAAGAGGACTGAATTTCCATAAAGCCAATCACGCTCCATCCCAGGGCTGGTAATGGGGCTTGCTGCTGCTGAACACATGTATCTATGCCTGCTGCTTGACAAGACTGGGTATTCTGTTCACAAGGAGGAAGGGAGACCCCAGCAGTACTTAACTCAGGTCCACACATGCACATTTTCAATTTTTAATGGCAACGGCTCCAAGTTGTAAATTTTCCAACTCAAATGTCAGTACCTATGGATTTTCCTGACTGTTGAACTCTTGCATGATGTCTGGGGCTGAGGGACACTTAGGTAGTTGTAAACATTGCTGCAGTTAACTTCCTTACACGTCTCTGCACACGTGTGTAACTCTTGAGGAGAGATACCCAGAAGTAGAGAGGCTGGCAAGCACACTGAGAATTGTCGTCAAAATATTTGATAAAATGCCTCTCCAGAAGGAAATGACTATAAAGAGACCCCATCACCACTTTCTCGTTGACAGCTAAGTAGTGATACAATTTCAGCATTGGATAGTATTGTTTGTAACCCAGTGAGTGAAAAATGATGCCTGTTATTTGAGTTTGCTGGTGTCAAGATTTTTATTCCTTTTTATTGAAAAAAGAACAACGGAAGTTGTAGGACTGACTTTGTCCGTAAGAGAAGTTAATGCTTGTTCCTTAGGGAAAACAGCCCCCTGCCATTCTTGGCTGTATTTGTTAATACATATCTCTCTTGTTCATCTTGGTATCTTCAGCATCTAGTTCTGTATATTAGATAAATACTTTCATGAGCTTAAAAGAATCTGACTTGATTACAGAATAAAAGGTAAATAGAGGGTAATTATGATGAACACATTTTCTGAAGCCCAAATCGAGATAGATGTGTTCACTAAGGATTTTTATGCCACATTTAGATGTGAGAAGCTATTTTGGAGACACAATATAAGTGTATAAATGATGAAACTTCTGAGCATTGTGATGGATTATACAGACAGCAGGTCAGAGTAATGGAAGTTGGCACTATTTTGGAGGTTAAATTATAAAGAAGAACTTAAA